AAATTATTAACAATGGTGAGATGCCTGGCGAATTTTGCTCTCTTTTCTTTTTGCAGTGATTGAAATTTTTTGCAATGAGAATGTCTTATTTTAAGGATGATAATGTTTATATTTATGAAATGACATATAAAATATTTAATGGCATAGAAAGATATTCACAAAATACTACTTAATGAAAAATCATACAAAATTATTTACAGTGTGATCCCATTCTCATATTTAAACCTATGTCTATTTATATAGAAAAAAGACAAGAAGGAAACACACCAAAATATCAGCCATGGTTATACCTAAGAGGTGACAGGGTTTTAATTTTCTTTTAAGACTAAAGGAAAAATGAATTGAATTTAAAAATGCAGATATTAAAAAGATTAAAGAAGCTAGAGATGAAAAGTACAGAAATTGAACAAATATGATTTAAAAACTCATTATAAAGCACTTGTATTCATCAGGTCAAATCATGTCCAAACTGTATCTAATGAATAGAATCTCTCTCATTAGCACATAAAAAGCCTGATATATTAATGTTAAATAGAGTTCTACCATCCTTTTCTATGCTAAAAGCAAAATTGGAAGAGACACACAATGTGGATTAAGGACAGAAATAGGTGTCAGTGGCTCAGGGCTCAGATCTTTTCTGTACTAATAATTACCTTCTCTGAGCAAATCATAATTTTTCATTATCCTAGTTTATTGATTTGGAAAAAGCACAGTGAAAAATACTGGCTTCTTCATAGGGCTGCTATGAAAAGCCAGAAATGTTAAGTACTTGAAAAACACTCAGCTAAAGCAAGTGATTCATGGATGCAGTTAAGAGTTTCACTGTCCCTCCGTCCCATGTTGAGAACATGGGGATTAATCCACTTGTCCAATTTTGCAGTCTACATCTCTCCTGATTGGGGGTCACTGCTAAGCAGTTATGCATATGTGTTGTTTTGCCTCCTCACCTCAGTCTCTCCACTTACTCTGTTTTTTTTTTTTTTTCCAGCAATTTCCATGGAAGTTTGTAGTCAAATATTGGCTTTCACTTGACCAAGATGTCAGCAGTGACCAAAGCGGGGTCAACCAGACTTACCTTCCCAAGGAGGTGGGAATGAGGTAAGGGCCCTGCGCTGGTGGGGAGGGGGTTGCAGTAGATCTGCCCCAACAGCATGCTTTTCAATTCCTGCACCCCAGGTTCCTTGCTAAGGCTGAGGATCTCCAAGGATCTCTTCAGCTTTCTGAGGTGCTCCATCACCTTCTGATGAGTCTCTTCACCTCCAGTTCTGTCACAGATGACTTGTATTATTTACGACTAGAAAACCAGAATATATAAGGAATCCACATACCACCTCCCTGAGGGGAAAGGGGACTGAAAACTAAGTCTCTGGTATAACACAAAAGCACTAACACATACTTGACTTTGGGGACAGAGCCCTTCTCTGCTGCCTATGTGCAGAAGGACGAGTTCTTGGCCTCCTGGTACACATTCCCCAGCCATTATAGAAGAGCAATTCTAGTTTGAGCCTCTTATTTACAGTATTTAAGTACTAGACTTGGGCTGTCTAACATGGTAGCCACTAGCCTTATGTGGACATTTAAATTTAAATTAGTAGCAGTGAAATAAAAATTCTGTTCCTCTCAGTATCAGTTTTAAGGCTAGTGGCTACTGGGTTAACATTGAAATAAAATATTTCCATTACTGCAAAACATTCCACTGAATGGCACTGGCTGGACTAGTCCCTAGACCTAAAGCTGCCTTCTCAGTTCTCCCCGCAGGACCGACCTGCCACTAGACCTCTTCATTGGTCTGTTGTGACATTCCTAAGTTTGTTGGGCAAATATGCAAAGCAGGTTCCCTAAGTGTCTTGCACATTGGTGAAACCATTGAAAGTGAAAATGCAAATTTTTAAAGGAATACATTCAGAAAAAACACTGGTAATTTTTTGGGGTAGATAGAAGTCTTACCAGGCATTTTTTTTTTCTGGTACTAACAAAATGGGTCTACTTTGGTCTTAGCTAACTGAAGCATAGATCAACATGTGTCATGTAATACATTGTCAAGAAGTGCTCTTCAATTCTAATTGAAGGTTATAGAATTATTCAAAATTTAATAAACTTTCAAAGAAATAAAGAGGAAAAAAATGATAAACTTCAGACTTGGCATCCTGACTTGGAAGACTCTGTCACTTGCTTTGGGCATGCTGTTCAATTTTTAGGGGGCTTCAGGATTTGCATTTGTAAAATAAAACTAATACCAACTCAGCAGGATCCTGTGAGGTAAAGTGGTATGTTTAATATAAGTCAGTGTTCTTAGGATGGTGTCCAACACAGAGGGGGAGCTGATTCAGAATAGAGTCATGAGGAGACTCTAAGTTCTCCCAGGGACAGGTGTGAAGGAGGCGGGCTGAGGGCATCAGGTAGTGTAGATTGTATCAGGCCACCCTTGATCTTCTCAGTCTACTGAGAAAAGAATGGACTGGGTATTGAGGCTGGGGCTGTAGCTTAGTGGTAGAGTGCCTGCCTAGCACGTGTGAGACACTGAGTTCGATCCTCAGCACCACATAAAAATAAATAAAGGTACTATGTCCATCTACAACTAAAAAAATATTTAAAAAAATGACTGGGTATCATAGGTCCACTGTGACTGATTCTATTGTTCACTTTCTTGTCTTCCCCTCCTCTTCATCAACAGCATTATCCAAACTTTTCCCTATTTGAGATGGTGTGGACCTTCCCCCCAGAAGCTATTTTCAAAATAGAAGTAAATGATCTGAACGTTCTCAGTCACTTCTTGAAAGAGAAAAAGTCAAAAAATAAAGAGATGAGAGGGCTGGAGATGTGGCTCAAGCGGTAATGCGCTTGCCTGGCATGCACAGGGCGCTGGGTTCGATCCTCAGCACCACATAAAAATAAAATAAAAGATGTTGTGTCCACTGAAAACTGAAAAATAAACATTAAAAAATTCTCTCTCTCTCTCTCTTTCCTATCTTTAAAAAAATAAAGAGATGAGAATTTGCAGAAAAATACTAGCTTTGTGATTGGGGCTTTGAATTGTAAAGAAGATAGAGCTTCAAAGGGGAGGGAGGGAGGTGAAGGAGCATGGGGGCTGGAAAGATGGTGGAATGAGATGGATATCATTACTCTAGGTACAGGTGTGACTGCACATATGGTGTGAAGCTACATTGCGTTCAACCAGAGAAATAAAGAGTTGTGCTGCAATTGTGTACAAAATGCATTCTGCTGTCAAATATACCTAATTAGGTTAAATAAATAAATTAAAATTAAAAAAAAAAAAGATGCTAGGACTTGGCCTGCTTGACTCCCTTCTTTTGGTTTGGTCTGCCTTAAGCTTATCAACATGCTAAACAATGAAAAAACTGCCTGAACTCTGTAGTTTTTATTGTTCCTTTCAACAAATCTCAATGGTCTAATAATGACTACCATGTATGGAGTGAAGAGAGCACAGAAAGATCCTGAATGTGTTAATTTTACTTGAGAAAAATTGAATATGAGCCAGAAAGACTATATAATATAGGTAAGTCTCATTAAGCTGTCATTACTTGGAAAGATAGTTTCCAGGCAAATAAACACCGAATCTCACTCTCACAGATCCCTCTAAGTAGCACATTCAATTCAAATGTCCCATCCTCATACATTCTGTTGACTTCAAAGAGAATTATGGGTAAGAAAATGAGAATCAGGTAGGGCAATTATAATTCTGTAAAAGAAAAAACATGCCAACATTGATTGGATTGCTCAAAAATGAAAGGAAAAAAAAGAGACACTTTCCTTCAATACATTTAACTGCTCAAAAAGGCCAAAGTGTTTTGGGATCCAAATTTTTATTGCTTTAAAAATAAAGCAGCAAAATACACTTTCACACAACTCCCAAAGCTCCCAAAGTGAAACTAGGTCATATATTCACTTATTTTTTTTCAACTTATCTTTTCCAAATGCTTGCTCTGAGCCAGACATCAATTGGTCAATTCAGAATACTATTGAAAAGCTGCCTCCAAACCCAGTCTTCAGGTTGTCTAAAGGAATTTCCCCTATAAACTTCAAGTTTTGTATCTTTAAGTCAATGTGCTAATAAAAATACCAACAAAAAAAACAAATGTCCGTCTCTAGAGGAAAGGATGCATTAAATTATAAGGTATGTGAAAGAAGAATAACCTCACAAGGGTGACTTACATTTATCTCAGCAGGTTGGCAACCTGGTTAATACCACAGCCCAAAGGAAAAACATGGCGGATGGTGGGTCAGCCTGCCAGGCAGCCTATCAGAAACACACAGTTGTCTTCAAGGTAAGGAAACTATTCCTAACAGCACTCCAAGATAAACATGCATACTTCTTGTTAGCATCACTTTCCCAAATGCTGTGGCTTGAATATGGTTTATCCTCTCTGAAACTCATGTTGAAATTTTATTCCCAGAATAAAAAAGGTGTTGAGATGGTAGAACTTTTAAGAGATGAATAGGTCAAGTGGGCACCACCCTAATGAATGGATTACTTCTGCTCTCTATGGGACCGGCTTAATTTTCACTGGCAAGAGAGAGTTCTTGTTCTCTCCCGATTGGATTAATCACTACAACAGCCAGCTGTTATATAGTGAGGCTGACCTCTATATTTTGTCTTTTCCACACAAGCTTGCTACAGTTCAAGGTTCTCGTACTGTAACATAACAAACCCATTGGACCTGTCTAATCTTGGACTTCCAGTCTCCAGATCTGAGAGTTAAACTTTTTTTTCTTTATAAGTTACCCAGTCTCAGGTAAGCTGTTTCACACTTTTTCACCCAGGTAATAAGTTGGAAATCCTGAAACATGGCAAGACAGACCTCTGCTAGGGAGAGTTAATGTTGACACAGGGAAGAATGTTGACAAATCAGAGTTTGACAAGAGTGGAAAGCAGAACCCTATCTGGCCATGACTTACCTTCAGAGGGCAAAATCAGGTGGAGGTCATATACACATAGGGTGTCTTCAAGGAAACAGGGACTTACCACAACAAAAGGATATTGGGCCACCAGGGCAGGGCAAAGCTGGGTATTTGGCATAAAAACACAGTGCATCATAACAAAGTCATTTAAAACAGAATCTAGAGGAGAAAAAGGTAGAAAAATTAGGTTCTTGTGAAAATCTTTAGGAAAGCAAAGTATCTATTCACTTGTTTTTGGCCATTGGATGTGTGTGTGTGTGTTTCAATATTTTTTAAATGGGAGATGGACACAAGACCTTTATTTTATTTATTTTTATGTGGTGATGAGGATTGAACTTGGTGCATCACATGTGCTAGGCAAGTACTCTACCACTGAGCCACAACTTCAGCCTGGATGGGTATGGTTTTAATGTGCACCGAAGCATTTCATGTGAAAATAATGATGACGAGCTTGAGATCAAAACCTAATTTTTTAGAATATTGGACAAAGAGGTAATATTTTAAAAAGAGATAGTTTTATAATAATAGCACTTAGTCACCTTAGCTGCAAAGAATTTTTCTTTTTTTATAGTTCTGGGGATTGAACATAGGGCCTTGTACATGCTAAGCAAGCACTCTACCACTAAGCTTACATCCCCAGCCTCAAAGAGGTAGTCAAAGCAGAGAATTGGTGGTGGTGGTGGTGGTAGCGGGAAACATAGCAGAAAGAGATATGATAAAGCCTATGGGTAGTACTGGAGGAAAATAAAGCTATCTCCTAAATGCGAGGAGTGACTGTGCTAAGTTTGAAGCATTTTGCAGGCAGGTAAGGAGGGGGGTGGAAAGGGACCCAAGGCACATCCCAAAGATAAGTTTCGTTTGTCTCATCACTGAACTAGATGCTGGCTCTTCATTGCAAAGATAACACCATCCAGCCAGCCTGGATGGGAAACGGCAGGTCGACCAATCTAAAAGTCCCAGGAATAGGCCCACTGAAACCTGGAACTCAAGGTGCCATGAGGATTTTTAATTTAAAAACAAAAAAGAATATACTGGCTGAGACTTGTGAAATCTTTTTAATAGAAGATGGTGAGAAATATGCAAACTTATCTCTATAAATTAGATTTCCAATGCCCATGTTTTTAATGAACTTATATCACCAAAGTTTGAATCAGCAGCTAAATGTTTAACCATTATACTCATTTAAATCTGTTGTAATCCCAAGTTTATCCCTCAGTGTGCTCAGTCATTCCAGGCCCATGTTGCTGAGCCACAGAACAAGTAAATAGGTGCCAGATGGAAATTGTATAGAGGTGTTTTTTTTTTTTTTTTAATTAAAAAGAGGTTGCTTGTCAACATCTAGTCACCTTCATACATTTTATATACTCTTTGAAGTTAGTAGAATAATGCTTGCTTATATGCCACTCAGAAGGCCTGCGCTTGTAGTAGTTAAAATTTTATTTCCTTCCTCCCTTTATGTTTTTTTTTTTGGTGTGGGGTATTGAGGATTGAACTTAGGGGCACTCAGTCTCTGAGCCACATCCCCAGCCCTATTTTGTATTTTATGTAGAGACAGGGTCTCACTGAGTTGCTTAGCACCTTGTTTTTGCTGAGGCTGGTTTTGAACTCGTGATCCTCCTGTCTCAGTCTCCTGAGCTGCTGAAATTACAGGTATGTGCCACTGCATTTATTTATTTTTGTGGAGCTGGGGCTAAACCCAGGGCCTCACACATGCCAGGCAAGTGCTCTACCACTTAAGTACATCTTCAGACTACCACGGTATAATTTTTGCTAATGCAAAGATTTGACATGGGCTCCAAGGCTGAGGACATGTATATACACAGGGACTGGTCACTTATTATGGCCAATCACCCCAAACTCACATTTCAATATAGCTTTCTTATTCTTTACTCACATACAGTGATTCCTGAGAACTTATTTAAAACAATAATTTTCTATTTGAAAATGATTTCCTAGTCACTCATAGCAGTGAAAGTCTAGGAAACTAATAGATCTTAGGTAGAAAACTTTTTAAAATTTACTAAAAAGAATGCATAGTCATAAATATATTTAGCAGTTTTTATTTCTATGATATAAACAAGTTTTACCGTAACTGACATTTCTCCTTGTATTGGAAATTCATAAATGCCAAAGGTCTTCACCTCCATTATATCCACATGCTTCGTGTACCTGTGCTAGGGTTATTTTTAGCACCCAGGAGAGTAATGGGCAATATTCATATCTTTGATTTATGAGAAAAAGATACTGATTTATTCTTATCGCCAAGCTATAAACATTACTTATAAGAAAACATTTACTTATAAGAAAAAAAGTCAGAAAAATTGTAGTAAATGAAGTTCAACATTAAATTATGATGTTTGTTAGTCTAGTCTCTGACATCAAAAATGGAAGTGTCAGGCCTGGTGTGGTGTAATCCCAGCAGCTTGGAAGGATGAGGCAGGAGGACGGCAAGTTCAAAGATAGCCTCAGCAACTTAGTGAGGTCCTAAGCCACTTAGTGAGACCCGTCTCAAAATAAAAAATAAAAAGGGCTGGTGATATGGCACCGTGGTTAAGTGCCTCTGGGTTCAGTCCATGGTACCAAAAAAAATAAAAATAACAAAGGGAAGTGTCAGGAGTCATATCCCATATGCCATCCATAGGACACACTGATTTCTAGGCCCTACATTTTTTTTTTTAAAGAAGCAATAATCCAGTCCCTATCTCTTTTAAAGGTGACTTTAAAAAGAAGGTTACATTTGCTCTTCGTGGGTAGTAAAGACCCTTCCTTAGATGTCATAGTCTCAAATGTTCCAGAATCTTCCTTTTGGGTCAACACCCACTTTCTTTTTTCACTTAGATAGTAATAGCACAGCACATATCAAACTGCTAGCTCTTTCCTTCCTGTTTCTACATCAGTACTGGTAGTCTTTATCCCATCTCTAGTTACTGGTCACCAGCCTTTCTTTAGGGCCACTTCAAAGGCTATATTCTCAATGACAATTTCCCGGATGGCAGTAGCCACTGAGTGCCCCTGAGGCACTGACCGCACTCTGCCTTATATTTGAGTGCTGTGCACATTTCTTCATGTCCTCCAGCAATTTTAGGCTTCCTGAGGGAAGAAGGCAACCCTTGGACCTCACCCAAGGTCACCAACTTAGTGCCTGCTCAACAACAGAGGAAGCCTTGTCCCAGGGCCTAGCTTGAATATCTACCTTCCCAATTCATGCACTGTACAAAAAAACTCTCAGATAATCAATTTACAAAATGAGAAACTGGAAAGAGGAGATGAAATAAGAAGTCATTGGCAAAATGCTTTTAGGATTGTTGTGAAGATAAATTATAGAAATGGATTTTGAAAAGTTTTTTAGATAAATCTTTGAACTTCTTTTAGAGAGAAATATTCTTCTATGGAACTTAGTGTTCTTAAAATAACCCATGGTATTATTCTGAGAGACAGGCCAGTAGTCAGGAATTCTTTATTATTATTATTATTTTTTAAGTTGAATGTCAGGACTAGAAGTGCAACTCAGTGGTAAAGCTCTTGCCTAGCATGGACGAGGCCCTGGATTCAATGCCCAGTGCAAAAACAAAACAAAACAAACAAAAAAAAACAATGTTATCTGTTCCAAAGTCATTCACAAGATAGAAATCAAAATAGAAATAATGTAACTCTGAACACTTAGTAGATTGTACCAGTCTTTTTCACCCTCAATTCTGTGTTGTAGGTAAGACTGGCTCACTATAAGGAGATGCTATCTATTTAATTTTATTCTCTCCCAAAGATATGTTGCAGTACTAAGCCCCAGTATCTCAGAATGTGACCTTATTTGGAAATAGCATCTTTGCAGATATGGTCAAGTCAATGTGAGGTCATTAGTATGGGTCTTAAGTGAATATGACTGGTGTCCTTATGAAAAGGGGACAGGATATTAGGGCACAGACACAAACATGCACAGAGGGTATGCTATATAAAAAGTCATGAGGAGAATGCCATATCAACATGAAGGCAGAGATCAGGGTAATGATCCTCAAACCAGGGAGTACCCATGATTGCCAGAGAGGCCCCAGAAACTAGGTTATAGATAAGCATGGGGCAGATTCTTCAACATGGCCCCAGAAAGAAATCAATCCTATCACCTTCATCTTGGATATTTAGCCTACAAAACTGCAAGACAATCAAATGATAGCTTTGGAGTTCCTTGGTTTGTGGTACTTTGTTATGGGAACCCCAATAAATCAGTAAAAGAACATTGTTAAACTCTGGAGCAAGAATCCACAACCAGAGAGAACTGTTTGACCCTCAATTAGAGCAAGGCTGTCCTTTATACAGGGAGCTCCAGATGCTTTATGGAAATAGGGAAGTAGTTTTACATGATAACCTAATAGATATAGTTGGTAGGAGGGATTGGATGATAACATAAGAGACGCCCTGTGGAAAGCTACTCCTAATCTGTATAAATGAAGCTGAGTCATCTGCGAGGATAGCCAGGCACTCTGTCTGTGTCCCAGAGGAACGCACTCCAAATATTAATACACGTAACCCCTTCCTAAAACTGCCTTGGCAATGCATACTGAGAATGAGAATGAATTCAGGATTTTTAAAAAATAATGCTTAGCATGGATTTAATGGACACACAAAACTGTTCTGTGCATACCTGTTGCTTCATTTAAAGCTGGCTCAAGACGTATTGTTTCTAGAAAATGCTCTAAAATTTTTTCAGGTGTCCCTGACATCACAGTATACCTAGATAAGAAATACAAATGTTAATTGTTTTTCAAAAATGGGCAATCAATAATAAAAAATTTTTGCTTGAGTTTTTTTTTTTTAATTTGAGATCCCAGAGAACCATATGAACTTTACTTTTGACCAATACAATAAGAAAGACCATGTACCATGATCAAGTCACACCAAAAGATAATCAAGAAAACACTAACTGAATGTTACTAGAAACATATTTCCTTTGTGCCTACATGCAACTAAGGTAAACTTCTTGGAGAGCAGCTCTAGCAGGGTGGAAACTTCTAGGAGGTTGGAAACAGAGAAACTTCAGCCTTGTTCCAAAGGAAACGAAAAGGAACAAGTAAATCCCAGGACAGCTCAGGCTGGGCAAGGGGAGGTGGCAAGGGGAAATGACAGTAAAAGAGGTTACCCATATATGGGTGATTCTTAGCAAAATTTCAGTCCCACACTGGATTCCCCTGCCTATTTCTGGAATTCTCTGCCTTTCTCAACTGGTACACTGGTATGTGCTTTGGAAATGCAGCTAATAATAAAATAAGAGGAAAGAAAAAAATCCCCAAATGTCCACGAGCAAACAAACAAGAAAGCATCATGACAAGGAAAAAAAAAAATCAACAACAGAAATCTATATAATTTATTTCAATGTCATATATAAATTATTTTTTTTTTGAAGGGGTAGTTTAGCCTTTACTTTAGGAGATCCATCCAGGGTACTCTCCAACGAACATGAGAGGATTTATTTTTTAAAATTAATGTGGGATGTTTCAAGTCAAAGTCCAGATGGTGACAAGCAGCGAATGAAAACTGTAGGCAAAATAACTTTAAGGTGACATAGAAGTTCCTTTTGCAAAAATCAGACTTTGCTTTCCTACTTGGCACTTCACTTAAGGCCAAACAACAGGAAAGAAAAGCAACAATGAAAATTCCCTTCTGCTGGGAAAGCAGTGGTAGACTCCAGCGGTGGGAAGGCCCTGCTTCCTTTGCCTCCTCACCAACACCTTTTCTTTGCCTGTTTGAGACCTTCATGGACCTGGGTTGAGATTCTAAGAATCTCTCCAATGTATGAAATCTCAGGGCCTCACCCTCCTGCCTCAGGATTTTAGAAGAGGCATGTTAACATACAACTTTGTGCATGAGAAAGAAGCAACCCTGGAGAGAGTAAGAGTTCCATTTTAAGAAATCTAGCTTTAAAACCTAGAGGAAGGTTGGGGGAACTTGAAGAAAGGGGAGGGCCTATCTATAAATGCTTCCCTTCACGTCAGTTGGAGAACATTGCTCAACTCAGTCATTCGTGGAATATGTGATTTCTGATAGTACTCACCAGATGAGCCACAGGAGAAGTAGCATCTGGCCCCATTAATTAGGAAACTGGGTTGGAAAGAGCATTCCACATCTGCCTACCGTTTACTGTGCCCCAGACGACTAGGTGGGCCCAGAATAAGGCTGTCATGTTTACTCCTGCTAGTTAAATATTATCTCTGTTCTGAAGGTGAAGAAACTGCTGGGATGGGGGTGGGGCATACAACCTGAGGCTGCAGAGCTGGGGAATGGGACATCCCTGATGTAAGCCTCGTCTGCCTGGCTTCTTGCTCTGCATGGAGATCACCTCTAGCTGCCTGGAGCTCATTCTGAACAAGAAATTCTCCATATAAAAACTTTCCCCTTAAGAGTGTTTTTGCTTGTTTGTTTGGTTTTGAAAACAATTCTTATTTTACAAAGAGTATAAATACATGACATAACATGAAAACTGAATGCAGAAAGCAATCTGCTACTTCACATGCCATTGACTCGCTGCTGCTATAAATTTGTAAGTGCTCAATTTGAAAAATGTTTCCTTGTCCAAAGTTTAATTCTGATAGCAGGTTGGGTTCACAGTCTAGTAGTCTCCATTTAAAAATCTCCTGGCAAGAGTATAGATACCTGAGTGTCAAGCCAGATGTCTTCTTACCTCACTAGAGAGAAAGGAGCCTAGCATTGCCCACCTGGCCAACTGGAGATCCCATAGCACCTTTCATTGGCTGCCAAAGACTCCCCCTCTGTGGTACAGCTGCCTCGCCTGCCTCAGCCCAGCCTTTCTTCTAGGCTCCTCTGAAGGCTGGTAGGTGCTAATATTTCCTTAGTGCAGGAGCTCTGAAGGGTAAGGCCTGGAAGCTTTTGGCCAGATACAGCTGTCTGTGACTTGCAGCTCTGGTTTGACTAAAACCTCACTTTATGGCTTGATTTCATGCGGGACACTGCCAGGCGCCTACTGCTTGACCTCTGTTTAAGTGAGGTCAAGACCACTTGAGACCAGACAGTATGACTCTTGTCCGTTTACTGCATGAAGGAGTTACTCTAGTTAAAGGGCTCACCCCAGTTGGTTACATTCCACAAGCTGTGAGGCTTTAAATGTATGATAGTAAAAGCTTTTTCCAACACCAACTCTGCATGTGAAGATACTTCTACCTGCAACTGGGGGTGGGGGGAAGGCCAGGGGAGAGGAGTACTGGAAAGAGACTCTTTTTCCACCCCACAATCAAGATGGAGGTGAGCAATGAGAAAATCATCTAAAGAGAAGGGAACTTAATAACTTAAATATGAACAGTCACTTCAAATTCTTTCTTTCTTATTAAACCTGCAAACCCTAGAGTAGGAGGACATCCAAAATGGCAAATGTTTGAGGGCTTCATGTAATGTGTCCATCATGAAAACACTGTCTTATTGACATTTTAATTCACACTCAAAGTTGAGTAAGGTGGTTTTGAAATTTTAAATGTGTACATAAACTATGGTGGATTTCCCAGAGGAAAGGCAAATCAGGAAAATAACATTGTCAAAGCCAAACTGGTGACTCTCTTCAAATTGAAAAAAAAAAAAAAAAAAAAAAAAGAAAATTGCTGAGGAGATAGGGATCCTAAAGCTTCCTAAGTTTTGGTTTCATTCATAGACATGGTTACTGTCATATTATTAAATTCTGGAACATCAACCCCAAAATTCACTTACATGGACCTTCCTTTCAGCTCTGGTCTATTTAGGAAAACAACATAAAAAATAACCCCTTAAGAGAAAATGGATTCTCATTCTTCAGGGCACAGTATTTATTAAGTGGGTTACTGTGAACATGCATAAGTCTTTCAAGTATATAAGAAATTTGGATTGGATGACAGTACACAAATAAGTAGAGATAATGGAAAATCAGATACAGCTCTAAAATAAATTTAAAGCACATGGTATCTCCTTTTCCCACCCCTCTAGTTTGATTCCATTAAAAAAAGAAACATCAACCCTTTGTTTGGAGAACACCCTGAATTTTGATATAGTAACAAGCAAATACTCTTAATTCTTCCCCATGACATGAAGAGGTGAAGGAAGGGAGGGGTTTTCTTGATCAAATGTTTCAAAATTAAGGAGAATTCTCAGGGCTTACTTTTTCAGGTGGCATGATTCCCTTAGACATCATTAAAGAATTCAGATGAACATCTACAAAATTATCTAGTTATATGTAAGGGTACTAAACCATTGGGGGAAGTCCCAATCTTCACATTAAAAAGAATTTTTCATTCTCATCCTCCTCTGGGCTGGAAAGACAACTTAAAAACATTTGGGCACATTTTCAAGAATGGAAAATAGTAAAAAACAAATAAAAAGAAATTTGGATGGTAATTTTATAGTTCTGTAAGTGAAAGGAAGGTTTTTCAAAATGTAGTCAGTCCTTTCGAAATAAATTGCTTCCAACATTTACTAAATAGTGTTGAAGATATAATATTTATATATAGTTGTCCCTCAGTGTCTGTGGGGAATTGGTTCTAGAATCCCCACAAATGCTCAAATCCCCAATGTAAAATTTCATAGCATTTGCATATAACCTATGCACATTCTATAGTGTACTTAAAATCATCTCTAGATTACTTATAATATCTAATAGGTCATCAATGTTTTGTAAATAGTTGCTATACTGTATTATTTAGGGAATTATGACAAGGAAAAAGAAGTTGGTACATGTTTGGTACAATAAATTCTTTTTCCTGAATATTTCTGATTCTGGGTTGGTTGAATCCACCAACGTGGAACTTGTGGACGCAGAAGGTTAATGGTACTATTTTGCTTTTGTAAGCTGGGAGGCAGAAGGAGCAGAGGAGTGAAAATTGGTCAAACTGAACTTAAATTCAAGCTATCCCACTGCAAGCTCTGAGATCTTGGACAAGCCACTTGCTTCTCTGAGCTTAAATTTTTCCATCTTTTAAAAGGGGTTATGTAAGAGTTAGGTGAAATCTGAAAAATATGCTCCAGCCATTTAATAATGTTTCTTCCTGTCTCCTTTGCAAATCTATTGATTCATCTAGATGAAAATATCTGAGTCTCAGGCTTCTACTCTAAATAATAAAAATTCATCAGGTACAGTGAAGGTTCTGATGAAGGGATCCCCACTTATTTGACAACAAAGGAAAATCCCTTGGGATGTTGTTATGGTTTGGATGTGAGGTGTCCACAAAAATGCATGCATGAGACAATGCAAGAAGATTCAGAGGAGAAATGATTGGGTTTAAGAGTATTGGAAGTGTGAATTGGGGCGTGGCTTTGGCATATATATTTGTATCTGGCAAGTGCAGACCTCTCTCTGCTTTCTGATCATCATGTGAGCTGCTTCCATCTGCCACACTCTTCCGCTATGACGTTCAGCCTCACCTCGAGCCCTAAGGAATGGAGCCAGCCTTCTATGGACTAAGACCTCTGAAACTGTGAGCTCTCAAATAAACTTTTCCTCCTTTAAAATTGTTTTAGTTGGGTCCATTAGTCATAGTAGCAAAAAAGCTGACTAAAACAGATTATTTGGCAACATTTCTTTAGCTACAGAATTGGTGTTTTTATTACACTCAGATTTAAAATTAATCTCCATCTTAAAAAACCTGATTCTGCAATTTGTTGTAATTCCTGAGAGCCACAGTTCTCACTCTCCTGTCTTACCACTCAAACATTGGTGATGAAAAAGTTTTATGTAGCAAGTAAAAACTGAAACAAACCAGATATACTAAAAAAGACTCAAGTTAAACAGGAGACCTGAGAAATAAGGAGCAAATTCCCTTTGGACATCAGCAGGAATAAGTATGAATGAGGCCAAATGGATGTTTCTGTGCTGCAATCAACAGAATATTTTGTATTTGAAACCCGGGTTTCCATTAAACGTTCATTCTGGTAATAAGATGAAAACACTTCCTGAGAAATCCTACATATGACATTCAAATACCGGAGATTCTCATCACCTCTGCCACATCCTTGAAGCTGCCTGGAGTTCCTGTTCCCATTGTTCTCTCCCTGCCTTCTGTTCCAAAGCTATTAAGTTGAATAGTGTGTACAGAGAGGTTTTTAGAGTAGGAGAATATTCCTTCCAGCTTGACTCTAGGCAGCACCAAGCTCAATGCAGTGCCAGAAATGGATACATTATACTCCACAAGATGTGTGATTAGTCAATAGAGAGAAAAAAAGTCACACATACACTGCCATCTTCCACAAAAAAAGGAGAACATGCTATTGTAGAAATGATGATACCATGTGAAAAGGTTAATCATAGTCTGGCAATTACAGTGTTGGATGCAAACATACTTTTGCTGAGGCTGTGAGTTTCCTTGATTAGAAGCTCTGCTCCCTGCTGGGACCTTCTCCAGCACCAAGACATCTTGGTCATGTTCTTTAAGTCTGACTGTGTTTGCCTCAACGTCCTGCAAATACAAATTACACCACATACAGATGCCGCCGTTTACTCAGACAATGAAAAAAATTTCAAATGCTTCAGAAACTCATTTGGTGCTTGTGATGCTAATTGTTGCGTCTACAAATTAAGTCATTTTCAAAGTCAAGGGCTGGAACGGTCAGAGAGAGGACCAGATGAGGTTTGAGACATATGTTTTTTTTTTTTTTTTAAACTCTGCTTTTACACCAGATTCAGAGAAACAGCAAAGTCCAGAGTGATGTGGCTGTGCTTTGAGAAGCCTTTGAGAGACAGCGGTATAGCAGGGAGACAGGGGAGAAAGGTATTTATTCTTCATAAAAATATGTGGCAAACAGCACTCAGCTTCGGCAGAATTCTCTTTCCTTCTGAGTGTATTTAGTTTCCTTAGGAGTGGCACCACTGTCTCTAATCAAAAGACACTTAGAAAAATCAATGTGAAATGTGTTAAAATCTTTTTCAGTTATTTTAAATGACATTATAAATTATATCAGTGAGATATGGTCTGAAGCTGTTTTTTTTCAAAGAAATTTTGGCTGAGCATAAAATTCCAAGAGCTAGTATAGCTGAACTGTAAACTTCCATATCCTTTTAAATAATTGATTTTAATTTTTAAATGTGCTTTTCCTCAACATTTGGGCTCCATCTTAAAAGAAATCAGATAACAACCAAATCAGATTCCTTGGGGTATTTTTCCCTGTGTTGTTCAATGGTATAAATGAATCTAACTTTCTTTGCATTCAGATAAATGTTTGCTTTTTTTTTTTCTTCTTTTTTGGTACCAGGGATTGAACCCAGGGGCACTCAACCATTGAGCCACATCCCCAGCCCTTTTTATTTGAGACAGGGTCTTGCTAAGTTGCTCAGCACCTCACTAAATTGCTGTGTCTAACTCTGAACTTGTGATCCTCCTGCCTCAGCCTCTGAGTCTCTGGGATGAGAGGTGTGCACCACTACACCCAGCAAGACAATGCTTTCTTAAAACAACCTTTGTGGTCATAAATGTTGCCGGCAGAGGCGAATGCTTCTGGCAGTGTAGGGATAGGTATCTCAAGGAGAGAGAGAGAAGGGAAGAGAGCAGCGCCATTCCAGAGAGAATAGCCTCCCAGGTGAACTCCAGCTAGGATGGAAGGATCAAGGCCACAGAAGCCAGGGAGGATGGGACACTGTCATCATCCACAATCAGGTCTCTACCAGCCAAACCTGGGTCATTCCTCCCAAGGAACCAAGGACTACATGGTAGGAAAAGATCAGGGACCATTTAGGGACCATTTCTTCTAAACATCCTCTATTCTCAAAAACAACAAGCTTAAAATGGGCTCATCTTCAGGGCCAATTCTAAGTTAAAATTAAAATTCCCCAGCTTCCTCTACTACCCCAATTCTTTTCCACTGACCAATGTCTGAATCTCCTTTAGTTCATAACAATTTGAGATAAAGCACTTAAAATGAAAATGCTTGGTTAGAGTAATCAGGACTGATCTTAATTTCCACTAATGTGCAATCACTCAACAAGTGAAGAGATTGTGGGACAATATGAGAGAGGCTTAGGTTTGGGAGACCTGGGAGGTGGACATTTGAAAGGTCTAGGATACAGAAAAATGTGGAGCAGAAAGATTGCCACTGCTCTGGAGAATGGGATGGGGAAGGACACAAAAAGGGACACCTAAGATGCCAGAGAGAAACTGCTTAGAATGTGACATTTTGCCAAGGCAATTGGTATCTATCATCAATTCTCATGGCCAGTATAGGCATGTGCAGAGGAATCTGGTCCAGCATAACATCCTGTGTTTACACCTTTCTGGAATATCATCTCTGGACCCCAGAATGCACACTCATTTCATAACAAAGTCCTTTGTTCCTAGAGCACCCATTCATCACAGTACTTCACTGAGATCTCTGCTCATCTGGGAAAGGAAAAAATGGGACAGCCTTCAGGCACACCTAGCTTTGGACTCACCCTCAGAATCCGGTTGAAATCCTCCTTGTCGACTCTTAGGAAATGACAATTATCCTCTCGCAAGACGATTGAGGCGGCTCTCGGAGCATCATTCACTAGTGCTAACTTGCCAAAGTCATCTCCCTCATGCAGGGTGCAGACCACACCCTGGAGAGAGCAGGACATTCAGGTGAAATGGAGTACATACTCACCCACCCCTCACCACCCCACCTTCCCTGAAACACTGTCTATATAAATGGGCTGTCCCTCACTATGCCAAAGTGGGATTATATAATTAAATTATGTTTAATTTTTCTTTCATTGATTGAGATGGTCTAGGGCCTAACTCAAATGCATATATTATAATCCATAAGGAGATGAGCCCCCAAAAGTATGACTGAATATAATAACTGAGAAATGTTTTGATTAAAGATGCAATATTTTGGGGCTGGGGCTGTAGCTCAGTGACAGAACGCTTGCTTAGCATGTGTGAGGCATTGGGTTTGATCCTCAGAACCACATAAAAATAAACAAATAAAATAAAGGCATTCTGTCCATCTACAACTATAAAAAATAATTTAAAAAAAAGATGCGATATTTTTTCTCCCTGGAATAGATGTATAAGATGTAATGTTGTTGCAAGTTTAATTGTAGCACTATGTTGTTACTACTTAGGGCCACACTAGCAAATGGAACACAATAAAGTTTTAAAAAGAAAAAAAGAGATATATACCTTGCCATAAATGACTACATTCACTGATCCTTTTAGAATAATGTACCAGGAGGTACCTTCTTCCCCCTGGTTAAACACTAGACACAAAAAGATGACAAGAATAGAAGCACATCAATACAAATTACAGCTTATCAAATCATCATTTTTAAGTCCCCAGAATTACGCATACATAAAATAAAAAAATCACTGGCAAATGCTAACTTATTCAGGTGGAATATTATTTTTCTTTCTCTAGAACATGAAAGGAAGAGAAATCCTGCACTACTTTCTGTGTCCTGAAAGACAGGTTTTCACCAGATACTAATTTGCCAGCAGTCTATTTCTTAAAGGAATGCACATTCTCCTAATTCATCAAAACATTATGCCATAGAAAATAGTTTTTAAAAGTAATCTGACCAGTAATGTGAAGTTTGAAAACATGAAAATCAGCACTACATCTTGTTTATAGATATATATCTACATATATTTTTTAACAAATGGGTTGGAATGATAACCACTACTGTCAAGGTAGAAATTACCCTCAAGAGGGAAAGAACAGGATACAGGAGGGAACCAGAGGCCTTCAATTGGAATTGAATTCTTTTAGAAAACAGGAAATTTTTCATTTTTTTAGAAAATATGAAAAAATATGGCATAATGGGAGTGTTTGCTAAAGATTTAAATAGTATTTGTAATATGTTCTTTCTTGTTTGAAACATTTAAAGATTTCATGATCAAAACAATTAGTAAGCTGGAATGAAAGACCCATTGTAAGTCACCAGTGACCATAAAAATAAAAAATATTAAAGTGAACCATAACCTGTAAAGAAATAACATTCTTACTAAGATAGATACAGTGTCAGAAAGATAGACAATATTATCAGATAGATATTAGTTCAGTCATGCTTTGGATGACTGAAAGTGAATCCTTTTTTTGTAATGCAGGGTACTGAACCAAGAGCCTCACACCTACTAAGCATGAGATCTACCACTGAGCTACACCCAGTCCTGAAACATTTTGAGATATAATTTTTAAGACCTTTTACGTTTCCAGCTTATTTGACTCTCAGAATACAGCATGAAGAAAGAGCAAGATTGTCTCTCAGAAATTTAATTGTTGTTCTTTAAAAAATGCTCAGTGTTCCACTAGGTTTAGGAGGTGTCAGTTTAAAGATAGTGATCATTTTGTGGCTCAGTGGTTGAGAGCCTCTGAGTTCAACCCCTGGTCCCCGCCCCCAAACAAAAAAAGATAGTGATCATTTTTCTTTATTGCAGAACCTCTGAGAAGCTACAGTATGCTGATGTGCCTTATGATTCTGCAAGAGAAATTAGAGAAGATGACATTTCTTGGTCACTAGATCATTAACCCCTATTTTGTAAGAAAAATTCTGTAGGACTAATGGGAAATGCCAATGTTATAATAATGTTCGGATCTCTTTAATATCAAATTTCGATTTCTTGCTTCCAAATATGATCACAGAACTAAAATACCACTTGAATTCTGGAGGGATGCTATATATTAACACTGCATCTGTGTTTGGGGCAAAGAAATTCTCTCAGGCTTGGAGCCTACAGTGGAAGGAAGAGAAGAAACAAAACATAATAGCTTAAATATGATTGTAACTAGCAATTTTGAGAGACAGACTAGTTCTTCTGAAGCCATAAAGTGAGGTCACTGTGAGTGGGAGCACCCAGGGCCCTGCCTGAAGAACAGTGACCTTACCCTGCCCCCTTTAAACACCATCTTGAGCCAGTAGGGCAGGGAGTGAGAAGGGCTCAGGCTGGCCACCACTGCTCAGGTGGGTACAGAGAACCACCATACTTCAGATTAACTGACACGTGCTGGAATAACCACAGGTCAGAAAAATCTAAGTGCCACATGACATCCTGCCAAGTCAAACTGGGGGTGGGGGTGTGTGGTCTGCATCAGGCTTCCATGACAAGTGCTGGAGAGGATGAGCCAGGCTCAGTGTTCTATCACAGCTGTCACTTACGGACGGTCCCTCCTTTGGCATGAGACTCAAAAATGAGAACACCTGCTAACTCCCGTTTCACCTAGAAGAAAAAGAAAGAACATGGAAAGGCCAGGTTTGCAGGTTTTTGGGGAGAAGGACTTGTGCCCTTTGTGGGCACAATGTTGATGGACTCCTTATTTCTTTCCTGGCTGTATGTTACCTTGCCTGTTGCTAATCTCAAAACTACTTTCACTAGATTTGCGGCTAGGTTCTCAGAGACTGTGCAAGAAATATTTACAGCTAGTTCATATGGGACAAGCTCCTTAGAAACTTCTTAAAACATCCCACATGCACAAACCTATCTTTTGCTTTGGGCAAAAAGGTGAGACATCTACAACATCCTATGCTTCTCTTGCTGTTGGTGGCTCTTTTCTGCATCACACAATAAGACATCACTGCAAACATGCTGAAAAAGAGTCAGACTTAAAGTTGAATCATTAAGCAAGCAGATTTATATTCCAAGATAGTCAAAATTCTAGGTTACTCCTAGCCAGCTAAAATTCCAATCTTTAAAAAAAATTCCAAATTATGATTTCAATGATAGGTCTAGCTTCCTAAGAACCAGGTGACCTGTGATTTTTTTCAAAGTGCCCAGGCACCTAGTGTTTGAGGAAACAGAGACCACCCACAATTTCTCAATTACACCAAGACTGGAGAAGTCAGAACAGGGGCATTCTGGGTATCTGAAGTACAGGAAGGGAGAAGAGGTCTTTCCTTAATGAGGCTTATGGAACCTCTGTTGCCCATCTCTACATATCCACAGGTTCCCCAGGTGAGGCTCCAGTCCTAGCAATGCATCTAACTTAAAGTCCCTCTGACCAGCTTGACTAACACACAACTTACTGTGGTAGAAAGATGAGATAAGGCTTTAATATGAAGGAGCTCTTCGTAGATAATCTCCAGGTCATCCATAGTCCTTTGGCCAGGTCTACAAAAAGAAAAACATTATCATTCAGACTTCAGCATGGAAATGACACTGCGGTCAGCAACATGCTCAGGGATGGCTCGATATAAGAAGATATTGGCAGAGGGGAGAGATCATGCCTTTATAATTCCCAAAGGGATTTTGAAATGAACATGTCCTTTGAAGGAGAATTTGGGAGCAATCTGATGTGCACAGAACCCCTTCTCTTCTAATTGCAGAAAGAAGAGTCCCTTGGCTCACATTGTAGTTGGCTAACTTGCCCTTGACTTTGCAGAAGGTTGATCTGAAGAACTACTTTTCATTACCACATCAATCAATAGTGACAAACCTTGCCTCTTAACACTCGAAGCAATTGGTTCAATCAACTTGACAGCAGATCCAAATTCCTTGGGATCCTGTGTGATATTTTAGCTTAACAAATAGTAATGCTGTCATTACTGTTTTGGGTTAGGTAGTATGCTTCTTCCAGAGGACCGAAATAGAGGATGCATATAGACTCATCACTTTTTTACCCAGCCCTAAGGAGGTAAGGGCATGAGATGAGAATGAGGTACATAGCAGTGTCTGGGATTAGCAAGACAGGAAAAAGCAAAGTATGTCTCGACATTTCTCAAACTCTATTCCATGGATTACCTCTGTCCATAAGAGGTTAATTGACTTTTGTAAAGTTTGTTTTTTAATTCTAAAATTTATTATAAAACTAGTATCCAATAATATACCTTTAGGAAACAGGGTTTGGGGGTTTTACAGACCTTTTTGTCATGGGAAGACTGAGTGAATTCCTAATCACCTTTTGAGTCTATAATTATTTTCGAATCACTAATAGTGTTTAATTATAAAAATGATAAAAGATATACGATTAGTTAGTAATTTGGATTTTTTTTTGTTCTCTGCAATATAATGAATCCTGACTAGAATGTTTTTGAAACTTAAAAACAAATGTATAATTCTGGGAGTGCTAGGAAGTCAATTGAGAGACAATTTATACATTGATGGGCAGGCAGCACTTACTCTCAGCAAGTTGCTGTAGTCATCAGCATTACTTATTACATAGTCATCGTCCTATTTTTTTTTGCATTTTGTCCTAAAATTACAGCAACTTATGGTATTCTTGTTTGTTTGTTTTTCTTTTTCTTTCTTTCTTTTTTTTTTTTTGTGCCAGGGATTGAACCCAGGGGCATGAACCACTGAGCCATATCTTCAGCCCTTTTTTGTATTTTATTTACAGACAGAGTCTTGCTACATTGATTAGGGCCTCACTAAATTGCTGAGGCTGGCTTTGAACTCACGATCCTCTTGCCTCAGCCTCCTGGGCTGCTGGGATTACAGGCATGTGCCACCCATGCCTGAATAGTCAATGTTATTTTACACTAAACATTTTATTGTGATTGAGCTTTGGATGGCATTCCATCAGGATTACACTGTAATTTTAAAAAAATGTTTTGAGTCAAACAAACTCAGGGAAGGGTGGTATACTGAGCACAACACTGAATTTAGAATCTGAAGATCAAGTTCTAATCTCAGTGCCATCACTCACCAGCCACATGAGGTGAGAGCCTTAGTCCCATCTGAAAACTGGAGACAATTCCTTTCTGAGGGAGATGTAAGAGCTAAAGGAAGCATTGAGAGTGAAGGCACCTATATATTATTTGTGTAAGTGAAAAAAAATCCATCAAAATTATATTAAAAACTCAAACACTTGCATAGGAAATTAAACAAACTTATAAATAAAATATGACATTTGGTACAGCAAATTATATCTGGAACTTAGTCAATTATTAGATCAGTACTCTGAGTGATCAGAACTGAGTTGTCAGTATTCTAAAACAGTTAACTGGATTAAACAATTTTGCAACCATATTATCACACGGAAGACCAACAGATCTGGTAGGGACTAAGGAGAGGATGAAAACTACGTGATTTGCACATTGACTCCACAAGGACAGCTTTGACATGAATAAAGGAATATGATACCCTTCTCATAGAAGCAATGGAGGATCTATTTCTTAATCCTGGCTGCACAAAGACAGACATTAAATCCATGACCCGGGAGATACCGGCAAGGGTCACCTCCTGCTAAGGATCACCAAGGAAGGACACAATTGCATACCAATCTAGTGCTTAGCGGTAGAACCCAGGAAGTATGGAACCAGAAAAGTATGGGACAGAAAAGCTGTGGCCACAGGGGCTCCAAAGAATCCAGGCCTTCTTGGCAAGAGGCCTAATCTACACTACTTGACTTAGACATGGGGATTTCAAAACTAGGACCCTTGGGGATTTAAAAGTCAATGGAGTCACCTCTGTCCATCTACTACCGTAGAGGTAGCTAACATGACAGACTCAAGGTAGGCGTAAGAGGATTACGGCTCTTCAGCACAAGGAGCAACCCTGCTGTTCATGCTACTTGACATCAGCTGCAAATAGCATGGAACTCTCCTAAACGCTTGGCTAAAAGAGAAAACAGTCTCCAAGTCCCCCATATCACCTCCATAGGGTGGGCTGTGATGGAAGGAGGAGAAAAACCCAGCCAGGAAAAGAAAGGTTTGGAATTCAGCTTTAAAATATTGACTGACTCAATGATGGAAGTTTGGAAGCAGATCTATGTGTCTGGAAGGAATGTTTATATAACATCAATATGAAACCCATATTACTCATTTAATGATTCTTTTTAAAAGAGTAGTGTGTTTAGAATCTACGATTTATATTTATACTTCATCTAAGATTTAAAACATGATGAGGAACTGTCAGATCCTCAATGCAATATACTAAAAGTTTCAGTGGTTCAAGGCTGACTTTGAGCTGTTCCAGTTAGTCTTAGGACCCAAGTGTTAAGGAAGAGAGGTAACAATGGCAATATTTAAGGCATTTTTGAAACATATTCAGTTTTCCTGCTGCCTTGCATCCCCTGCTCTCTCCCTGCTTTCCTAAACATTCGTCCACCTCTCATACTGTGTTCTTTCCCCAAAGCTCTGTTCTACCTTCTCTCCCTGGGAAAAACTCCCAAGGCCAATCCACCAATAAAGAGACTGACATCTTTATCTCCAAATAGCGCTTCTTCCTGAGTGCCAGTGGCTTCCTGTCCATCTCTTTCCAGATAACCCACAATATCTCCAAGCGCAATCTATCCAGAAGTGTTCCTTCACCATTATGCCAGATTCTTTAAAGCCAGATCTTGATTTACTTTTTCAAACTTAGCTATCTCCCCAGACTTCATACTATCTCTGATAGCCACGGTCTCTGCTCCAGACGTTTGGGGCACCTTTCCATTCCTCAGAAACACTCTACCTTCTCACGTCCAAGACTTTGTGCTCCTCTCAGGCTAGGATATTTTTTTCTGCATCCAGCCCAGCCCAGATGTCACTGCTCGTAGGTAACACCAACTTGCTGACCTCTATTCTTTCATAGCACATTGCCCTACTATTACAGTAATTTGCAACATATCCTGATGAATTTTATTTGCTTAAATATTCCTAACTCTAGACTGATCTTGTGAATAGAAGCAGTATCGAAGGGTAAAGGGCAATGCATTAGAAGCAGAATTGGATTTGAGATCTAAATCATGAAACTTCTAGTTGCTCAATTGGTTGAATGCTTTTTTCTGCATCTGTAAAATGGGAATACTAAACAGAATTGTTGTGAAGGCCAAATCAGTTAATGTACATGAAGCATTGTACACACGGGAAATAATAGCACACAGGTGGGACAGCATTATTATCAGGGTAGGTAATCAGCGTGGCTTATCAACTGAGTGAGCACTGGAGTTCTCACAATTCATGCTGAATTCAGGGGAGATGACAGCAATACCATGGACCAGTTCTTGTTTTGTGATCTGAGGGAAATGGGTGCTTATGCTTTGTTATCCTTCCCACTGAGGATTATGGCAGACCAGGTATCCATGGCACAACTCACTTTGAATAATGTCAGGCAAAAACTTTGAGTAATCCTCCCTTATCTGTGGTTTTGCTTTCCATGGTTTCAGTTAATCTTCAATCAATGGAGGTCCAAAAATACTAAATAGAAAGTTCCAGAAATAAACTATTTATTAGTCTTACATAACTTTTACTATACTAAAGTTATTATAATTGTTCTATTATTAGTTGCTGTTAATCTCTTACTATGCTTAATTTATAAACTAAACTTTATCACAGATATGTATGTATAAGAAAAAGGGGTCTATAGGGTCAGGTACTATCCACAGCATCAGGCATCCATGGAGTGTTCCTGTGGATAATCAAGATAACCTTGATTACTAACAGAGGGAGGAGATAGATAAAAAAATGATGAATTTCACATCTTGCTCTAAATCCCAGAAAATGATAGAAAAGGTATATTTTCCTTAGGAGTATAGATTATTTTCATCCAATTGTTAGCATCTTAGACCAGCTGAAGTTATTCAGTCTAAGTCAAGGTCATTAGGGGACTGGATGGAGCTGACCACCCAAGACCAACCAGCAGCATGTGTTGGGCAGGGTCCTTTACTGGTCAGAGTTTTGGCTGCCATGAGAAAGGTCTAATATAGAAATCAGACAAGTACCACCAGCACCACACACCACAAGTGAGGATTAGGCAGACCGGAAAGCTTTAGGAATTCTTGGCTAATAGAAAGCAGATAGGAGAAGTCTGGGAAATGAGACCAGAAGCATGGCAGCTCAGCACTTCCAGGAAAACCAGGGCAGGAATTAAACTGTGGCGCTGAGAAGACAAGATCTGCGGCAACAAGCATGGGGGGCAGGAGCACGGGTGTCGCCAAAAGCTCCTCACCAGGTTGGCTGGACATTGGTCGCTTGGAGCAGTGGACAGTGGCAGAGTTTACTGCTGGGAGAAAAACTGAGCCCTGTGCTTCTAGATGATGCCCAGGGAGGACTCTCAAGGGAGCCCTGGAGCCTGAGAGGCACAGAACAGAGCAAAGAAGAGAGCAGATAAAACCCCAGGGCCCTTTGGGAGACATCAGGGAAGGAAGGGGACAGCAGCTCTCCCAGGAAGAAAGGGTGTGGAATGGTTCC